CCTTCTAATGGTTAATGGTCTGGCCAACCTTTAATTATTAGTTGGGAACCCTTTTAATTATTCAGATACATCTCAAGAGGATGCCTTTGGGATATAATTATTTAAATAGAACCTAGTGACTGTAACTCAGTGGGTAGGCTGTGCGACACATAAAGGTAATGACTGTAAGTCAGCAGGTAGGCTGTGTGTTGAGCTTTAAATAACCTATTAATTAGTAAACTCAGATTGCACACTTGCAATATCATGCATAGTTACAAATTTCCTCATACTTATTATTACTATTAATTTATGTTTCACCAATCATGTGTAGAAGAAATATAGAAAGACAAATCTTCACATTCTTTGATGTCACAGGATTATAAAGTCACATGATTCTATTATTTATCATATTTGAGTATTCAAATTATACTGAAAGTAAATTTTACAAATAAAACAAATAAATGAATAAAATGAATAATTTGAATAATGAATAATTAGAGTAATTAGAATAACAAATAAACAAATATAAATGCATAAAACTAATCATTATTTAAATAATTCAAATAAAAATAATTTGAACAAATAAATGAATAAATGAATAAAATGAATAATTCAAACAAACAAATAAATGAATAAACAAATAAAATGAATAATTCAAGTAAAATGTATAATTCAAATAAATGAACAAAACGAATAATTCAAATAATTCATATAATCAATTTCTTTATCCAAGTCTTCTTCACTTGATGCTAAATTTTTATTCAATTTGTTATCTGACTTTGTTTTTTAACATTTCTAACTTTTTCCACACATGCAGTTTGCTTATTTTGTCTTGGCCTTTTTTAATTGGAAGAATATAAATTTGTTAGTGGTGTATTGTTTGTTGATTGCTTACAAATATTACAATGGTTTTCTGAACCGAATTTTATAATTCCTTCTTGTCACGTGTTTAGAAGATCTTTTACTAAATAGGAAAGAACATCTTTCATTTTTGATAGTAAAATCGTGCAATTTCAAACCACTAAGGCTTTTTTTTTATTAATGAAAACCTCTCTATTTCATTGTTATTTAGGTTCCGTTGTGCGTGAAAATGAAAGCTATGTGAATTTGCAATTCACGTATGTAAAATTCAATCAGAATTTCATATCCAAACACCCCACCCCAAAATTTTAATTATAAATTTCGATTTCACACAATTACAACAGTTTCTAAAGTTTGCAAAAACAGGGTTTGTTAATTTAAAAAAAGCCATAATAATAATGGTTTGAGAAGTTGCACAATTTTTTTTTGATGTCTTTTAGATGATGGCCTGCATAGTAGTAAAATTGACGAAAATCTGTTCGATCGACACGCACTGCATCCAAGTTAGTACATATTAGAAACCACAAACGAAATTAGGTATGGTGATCGTCGTATTTAACTTGAATACTTGTAGAAAAAAAATTTTTTAATATTTATTTTTTTTTTTTTATATATACAAATTATTTTATTATATTTTATTTATTGTTATTATTATTATTATTATAAATCTCTTCATGATAATCATATTCTTATTTAAAAACAAATTAATAAAAATAAAAAATCCCAACTAATCAATTAATCTCCTCCAATAACTTAATTAATCCACTATCTATAATCATTCCAATCATTCAATTAAGAGTCTTTTGGTTGTTGTAAATACTCTTCCATTTCACGAGCGTACCTAGCTTTGTCATCGTTTGCCAACTTTTGAAAAGGTTCACGTTCTGCATCAGTAAGAGCCTTCCATTTACCTGCCATGATTTTTGACAATGGGCCAACAGTGCTTCCAGGATGAGCTTCAGCAACTTGACGACGAACTGCAGATGTATAGAATAAAAATGCGGAAGAGGGATGTTTCGGAGCCTTAGGATGAAGAACACGTTTCTTCTTACGACCACGAGGATCTTTCTGTGGCTTTGTATTTTCATTAGTATTATTGTTGTTGGAGTTTGATTGATCGTCAGCCTCATAACCATCATCTGACTCGGTAATTTGTCGTTTTTTAGCATAACTATGATGACCTGCTGCAATGAGTTCGGCTTTAGAACGTCTAGTGTATACAAAGTCCGGGTGTGTTTCGTGAAATTCTTTTTTGAGTTCTCTAGCTCGTAGTAAATATGCTTCTTTTTCGGCCTAAATGGAACAAAAATTAATTATTATTATATGATATCAAAACATCGACAATTAATTCTAATGATAACTGATGACAATGACTGATAAACATACCTCTGTTAAAGAGTGCCAACCTTTACCGATCGCTTTAGAAATATTACCAACATCCATACCAGGATTCTTTTCTAATACTTTTGATCGCATCTCTCTATTATACAGCAAAAAGGCATTTGCTGGTCGCTTCCTTTTAGAATCCTTTGATTTGTCACTATTATCAGTATTACCACTACCAATATTATTGCTAATATTGTTACTGTTGTTATTATTATTATTATTATTATTATTATTATTATTAATATTAGTAACACTACTATTAAGATTGTTACTGCTATTATTAGTGTTAATATTAATAGATGATGTATTAGGAATTGTTGACACGATTTGTTGTGACCTTTGTGGTATCTGTATAGATTGTTGTGCCTATTATTAATTTAATTATTAATTAATTATATTATATAATACAAATAAAATAAATCAAAACAAAATCTCATGATTTTACAAATAAATTACCATAGGTATATTTGGACTTTGTTGATTGGTGATAGGTAATGAAATAGGTGCAATATTAGAAGATTTTTGTTGAGGAGAAATTCCAGAATTAGAAATACTAGACGTAACAGCAGCAACGACATTATTATTACTGTTGTTGTTATTATTGTTGTTGTTATTGTTATTGTTATTGTTATTATTGTTATTATTATTAATGCTATTGTTGCCATTGTTGTTATTGTTGCCATCGTTGTTATTGTTACTATTGTTATTATTGTTGATGTTGTTATTGGTAGGAGCTGGCGATTTTGCTTTTCTGGGCTTACGTTTTGAGTTTAGATAGTCTGGATTCGTCTTTTCGTGGTTCTCCCTCTCCTGTTTAGCTAACTCAAGATATTGTTCCTTTTTACCAGTTTCCATCGTATGCCACTCCTTACTCAAGATTTTGCTCACTTCACCTGCCTTTTCGCCCGGATGAGTATCGCGCATCTCACGTCTACGAGCCTTTGAGAATATCATGAAAGCATTCATGGGTTTTTTTAGTTTCTCGTCTTTTACAACCTTTTGTTGTTGTGCTTGCTGTGGCTGAGTTTGTGTAATCGGTTGAGTCTGTGGTGTTGGTTGAGTCTGTGGAATTGACTGATTTTGTGGAATTGACTGATTTTGTGGAATAGGTTGATTTTGTGGGGGCGGTTGTATTTGTGGTAATGATTGTTGGTGAGATTGAGCTTGTTGGATTGATTGTTGAGCTTGTTGGTGAGATTGAGCTTGAGCTTGTTGAATTGATTGTTGAGCTTGTTGAATTGATTGAGGAGCTTGTTGAGTTTGTTGAAGTGATTGAGGAACTTGTTGAACTTGCTGTTGCTGCTGCTGTTGCTGTTGCTGTTGCTGTTGTATAGAAGACGCTTGTTGTTGTTGTTGATGTTGATGATGGAGTTGTTGTTGATGAGAAGATTGTTGTTGATATTGAAGGTTAGTGGAATGTTGTTGTTGTGATTGGAGACTATTATTAGCATGTTGTTGTTGTTGTGAAAATTGATGATACTGTGGATGTTGTTGATGTTGTTGTTGTTGCTGCTGTTGTTGAGATTGATGATTTGAGATACTAGAAGGTTGGATCGAGGATATTTGAGCAGCGTTTATATGAGAAGCAGTAACTGCGGCAGCAGTAGCATAAGGTTGATAGGGGCTTTTTGCAACTTGTTGTTGTTGCTGTTGCTGCTGCTGCTGCTGATGTTGTTGTTGTAATTGATGTTGTTGCTGTTGCTGTAATTGGTGATGATGATGTGGTTGTTGTTGTTGTTGTTGACTACCACTCATCACATAATTATTTAGATTGTAGCTCATAGTTGTTCGATGAGCATTGGGATTAGTAGCCATGGCACCAATATTACCAATACTGCTTATACTGCTGCTTGAGCCATAAAGACTATTTGTTGCATTAGTGTTAATGTTGTCAGCTGTTCGTTTTGGGACTATTGAGCTGTTTAAATTGCTAGAAGCGGTGGCAGCTGCATTTGGTTGAGATAGGTTATCAGTTATACTGCTGATAGAGGTATTAGATCGTCTTGAAGATTGTTGACGCTGTTGTTGTTGTGGAGGCATTTGATGAGTTCGTGAAACTATTTGATGAGGAGATTGTTGAGCTATTTGATGTGATGATGATGTTGACGATGAAGGAGGCTGATGATGATGATGCTGTTGAGCGGCTAATTGTGAATATCTATTTGATGATTGTACGACTGCTTGATTATCGATTATTCCATCCGTACTCAAATCTCCATTATTCTAATTTGATATTTTTGGTAATTGAGAAATATTAATATAAAAGATAATTAATTAAAACGTTAATTATCTGATTGATTATTAATGATATTAACATTAATAATATATTATATTAAATAACCGTACATTATCGACGTCTGATACAAAATGACCAAGTGGATTTATGCCAATCGAAGAAATAGTAGCATCTACTGGCCATCGTTGTGATGGGTTTTGTTGTTGTAAGTAATTTGTTGTAGCTAAAGTATTTAGATCATGAATGGGAAATTAAAGTTCAATTGATTGTTAAGATTGTTATTTAGATGATGATAAAAATTAGATGATATAAAAATTGAAACAATAGGACTAACCAATAAAGGATTGATTTGAGTTATTAGAAGTAGACGAAGCATTACCATATATACTACTGGTTGATATCATACCATGTTGATTGTGAGAAGTAGCAGCATTTGCACCACTGATATCAGTACCCCAATTTTTATTATTCCAAGCATTATTTGCAGGTTGCAAATGTTGTTGAGGAGATGGTTGGTGAGAACCTAAATGAGCACCACTATAACGTATATCATTACTATTATTTAATCTTGGATAATTTGCAGCAGGTGACGAGCTAAAATTATTAAAGTGAGAATTTTGAGTATTATGATTTGGTAGACCTGATTGAAGTATACTAGGACTGGCTTGTGTTTGTTGAGGAGAAGGTTGGAATGGCTGATAAGGATATGATGAACGTTGCTGTTGTTGTGGTTGTGACGATTGCTGTGTATATCTCTGGTTTGGATTATACATTTTTTTTTTACTTTTTACAAAATTTTAATAGCATAAAAATTATTTTTTAAAATATTTGCTTGTTGTTTTTCTTTTGTTTGTTTTTTAATTAATTTGTTGTTTCCAAGGTTATCGGAATCGTTTTGAATTGTTCTAATTAATATATAATTATATGATTATAATTGTTATTTTTTGAATTAATAGCAATATCAACAACTCTTAAATCTATATTTTTTACCCCCCCAAAAAAAAAGGTCGAAATGAAGGATTATTATTTTATCTCTTGGGGAGAGCAAGAAACAGAGAATTTGAGGATATTATTGTACATATATTTTTCATTTTTATTTTAATATTTGATGTTTTTTTTTTTTGAAAAAAAAAGTTGAACATATATATATATGTGTGTGTGTGTGTGTATATATATATGTATAATTGAAACTTTAAAGAGATGACGATAAGATTAAAAAAAAAAGATGATAATGATAACGAGATTTGATGAATAATGTGAAAATGGGTTTATAATAGTTTAAGTAAAGGTTTGTTCGTATTTATATATAAACAAACGTACCGTAAAAAATTTTTCCGATAGATTATTGTTGTTATTATTTGTTGAAATATATATTATTATTATGTATACTCTGGAGTTTATAAATATTAGGAGAAAAAATTTTTTGGTTAGAATATGTTATTGCTATTGTTATTGTTATTATTATATAATAATATTGGTTATTGAAGAAGATTGATAATGAAAGATGATGGATGATTGAGTCTAAAAATTTTTTTTAATCAGAGACTAAAATAATTTAAGCTGAGACGAGACTATAATGATAAATTTAATAGGAGATTTAATGTTTTTGATCCACTAATAATAATTTAATCCGTGGAATATAATAAAATAGAAAAAAATAGAATAATACATACACTAAGAAAATAAGAAGAATGTTTTTTTTTGTTTGTAAAATAAATTTTTTATAATATAAATAAACTACTTTAAGTGATAATAATATTATTATTAATTGATATATTTTTGATATTTTAATATCTAATATTTTTAATTTTTAAAAACTAAAATATTTGTATAATATTAACATATTTTAATGTGATTATTATTTTATTTATTATTTATAATTATCTATCATATTGTTAAAATATATATTTTTTTTTTTTTAAATAATAAAAATAAAAAAAATTAATTAATTAATTAAAAATACTAACCACTCAAAAAAAAAAATAAATGCACAACACAAAATATTATTAAACGTATAAAAAAAAAGAAGACCTTATGTATTATTTATATAAAAATTTTTTTTAATAAAAATAATTTATATTTATTATTTTAATTTTTAATTTTTTTTTTTGAATAGGAGAAAGAAAAAAATTCAACCAAACATCAACAAACGATTAAAATTGTTTGATTTTATAAGGTTTGAAATATAATCAATTGAGTATGTGTGTACTATGTGTATTTTAAGTGAACACAGTATATATATATTTTATATTGGTGTATGTGTTTAATATATTATTTATAATAAGGTTTTGTTGGTTGTGCAAAGGAGATGGTTATGGTTATATGATGTAAATTAGGAATATAAGGCGTTATTGTGTTATTATTATTTTTTATATTTATTTATTTAGCAAACAATTCTTTGTTAAATGGTATTATTATAATTATTAATAATTAATAATTATTAAATTAATTAATTATGTTGAATTATATTATTATTAATATATATTATACCAAGTATATTTATTCGTATCACAGATTTTCTAATGATTGATTGATTGATTGATTGATTGATTAATTGATTGGAGGAAAGATTTTATGTAGATGCGAGATGCTAAAAAGCAATGACGTAAAGTGGAGAAATGCAAAGAATTGCTAAAAATATTTCGAATAATTTTTTATTTCATTTTTTTATGGGAAAGATTATAATGTAAAAAAAAACATTTAAAAACGAGCGAGAAATTTTTTTGATACAGTAAATGAGTGAGAATGGTAAGATTTTAATGTAACCATAAATATTAATTAATTAATTATAAATAAAGAATGTGAGAATGTTTATTGATAATCCATTTATTGTTCAAATATGGTAAATCATGCAGTGCTTTAAATAAATAAAACATGCAGTGTAACAAAAATTAACATTATTATTTTAATTTTATATTAAAATATTGGGATCTATAATGATTTTTGGGGATTCTAAATATTTAACCGTCACAACAGGGAGATCTTTCTATAAAGGTAGTTATCCACTTTTTATTATTGAGATGAATTTTTGATTTTTGAACTATTATTCAATACGTGGAACATTGAATTTCGACCATGTCAAAACAATGTATTATAGTTAACAGAGCTTTTCATGTATTTGATCTATATCGCGTCATATCACGTATTTGTGATCTGCGGCAATTTTTTTTTAAGTGACTTATATTTGGAATCCCCGAAATTTTTTGTTTTTCCATAATAAATAATAAATAAATAAATGTTCTTCCAATTATATAATTCATTAATAAATATTAATACATCATTTATTTACGCCTACATGAGCCCCAAATATTAATTAGCCATATTATTTTCTTATAATCGTGAGATCGACTAATTCTTAACTTGTTAAAGATTTAACAAAAAATTTAATTAGTTGTATGTATGTAATGTATGTATGTATGTATGTTGGTTGTCACATTCTCTCTCCACAAAAAGAGGGAGCTATTTTTCTTTGTTTGATAATCTTTTTTTTAATTTTAAATAATTTATTTATACTGTATATAAAAAACAATACAAATAATAACTGATTATGATATGATTGTTTCGGAAAAATTAAATTCATTTCCGATCTACAAAGCCAAGAATTTTCTTTTTTGACGATCTTGCATATATTTATATAAATAAATGAATTGTCTTTATTTGTGCAACAGCATGTATAACTATAGATCAGGTTTGAACTCGGATTTAAAATATGTGCTGACCTTTACCAATAAACGATATAGGACATTTCTTCTTGCCCAACCAATCAGTGTCGAATCGGTTTAACCATAAATAGATGTATTTCACAAATCGTGGACACGGGATGGTTAAAAGCGGGGCAAGGAGGACTGACTGTTCAGATAATTTCCACGTTACTTTTTAGAATGATAAAAGATTCTCAACAAGTATTGTTATTATTTATTATTATTAAGAGTTTTTTCTTTTTTATTAAAGGGTCCTAAATAAAAGAGATAAATAAATAGATATTATAATCGTAATAGCTTTACAATTTTCAATTAATTAATTAGAAAGTTGAAAATAAATTGTTATTGGAGGGAGAATGCCATATAAATATAATATTATAATATGTAAAAGTATTTTAAGATTTTTTTTTTTTTTTTTGAAAACAAAAATAAAAAATGTGGGGAAAAGAATCAACAAATTTTAATGAAAATGATTTATTTTATAAAAAAAAATTTTTATATGCGAGTGTATTAAATCTAAATAACATAATGTTTGTTTTACATAATATTTGTTATGATAAGAATTTACAGTACAAGTATTCCATTATTTCATTATTCTTGCTTTCCTTCCGAATACTTATTCATTCAACTAATTCATTGATATTCTTGGATTTTAAAATCACATTGTCAATAAATTGGATCAACAACCCAACTTTAATTAATAACTAACAGATAGGGATTTTTGTATGTAATTGTATTTTGAAAGGATGTGATTTTTAATAATAATCCTGTGTCACATTTTTTTTTTACTACACAATTAAAATACTGCTAACCGTAGACAGCCTACATTAAGGTGCCTCAGGTGTATGCCCCAACATCGCGGATGACTCTTATTGTGTTTCTGTAATATTTTAAAAATATATTGCGAGCTCCGTTGGCATCTCTATCAATGGTCGATTTATAAGATGAACGGACGTCCAAAGGTTCCAGATTTTGTTTGATACGTCCACAACATCCACGCATTTTACTAGTGTGTTCTTCAGTGTAGACGATCATTTGCGCTGAGGGTATTCGCCGGGGCACGCATCGATCGAGTTTGTTTGCTTTACCGTGAATAAAATCCA